CTGCGCTCAGAATAGGCAACTTCGCATTCAGCAGATCTTGCAGGAAGCGGAGCAGGCTGCTCATAAAGGGCTTACGGCTGTTTACCAGGTGGTGAAGCGTCTTGCTCCCAAAACGACACCCAAGCCTATCCTCTTCCGGGATCCGCAGGGAACTCCCCTCACCACGGCTCAGGAAGCGCAGACCTTGAAGGACTACTTCTGCCGCCTCTACCGCTCCTCCTTGCCGGAGCCTCATCCACCGGGCCACTCTTTTACCCCGTTTGATGTGGAGGAGCTTGCTGGTGTCATTGCGCAACTTCCCTCTGGCAAAGCTCTGCCCTCCTGGCTTGCCCCTGCCCCGCTTTGGTCTCTTGCTGCTGCCCATGTTGCTGATGTTATTCACCCGGCCCTGACCCAATGGCTCACTCATATGACGGACCCCATGCCGGGGCAGTGGCCAAAATCTTCGCTGTGCCTTCTGGCCAAACCGTCGAAGCCTCCGAAATGTCCTGAGAACCTCAGGCCTATCGCTCTTCTTCATCCGGTTTCTAAATGTTTGGCGAAACTGGCGGCTGGTCTTCTGCGCCCGACTGTGCAGCATCTTGCCACGCGTTTCCCCCAGTTCGCTTATATAGGGGGCCGATCTGTGGAAGACTCTATCGAACGCGCATGTTCCCATTGCGCAGCTGTACGCACGAGTATTGAAGCGCAAAAATACAACATTCACCTTCGTCGTCAAGGACATGTTACGGGAAAATGTAAAGGAGGGATCACCCTCTCCTTAGATCTTTCCCGGGCGTTTGATTGCTTGCCGCGAGAGATCCTGCACAAAGCTCTTGTTTTTGCGGCTGTGGAACCCACACTCATCGACCTCATTCTCCACATCCACCGTCAAGCCGCTCTCAATATCACGCACAAATCGCACTCCGTTGCTGTCGAGCTCCACTCGGGGGTGCGTCAAGGTTGCAGCCTATCTCCAGCACTGTGGAGTATCTTCATCTGCTATGTCCTCCATCTTTTAAGTGCGAAAATTCCTCTCTCCTGTCTTACAGCGTTCTCAGATGACATCCTTGCACAATGGGAGGTCCATGAGCCTGAAGACATTCTTCGCATTTTACAGGACATCGCTTTCATCATTGACACTCTGACCTCCCTTGGCATGTCAGTGAGTGACTCCAAAACAGTGATCCTCGATGGCCTCCGAGGTCCCGCCAAGTCCAGACTTCTACGCCCTCTTCTGCAGCACCATAAGGACAAGGGCCCCTGTCTTCGAGTGATGTGTGCCACTGGGCCATTAGATCTGCCCTTTCGCAAGCAGCATCCCTACCTGGGTATTGTGCTTAGCTACGACTGTTTCGAGAAGCTCTCCCTTCAAATCAGGATCAAGCAAAGTTGGGCCAACTTCAGTCGCCTCTTCTCCCTGCTCAGATCCAAGCACATCCTACCCATTCAGCGCTTGCAGCTCTGGACTGCTTGTGTGTTCTCCACGCTGAGATACGGCCTTACCAGTACTGGCTTGCCTCCTCGAGGCCCTGATCTCATTCGCCAAGTAGTGGCCAAGCAGGTCCGCCTTGTCCTCAAATCCCCAAGCTGGATCACTCATGAAACCACAGCTGATCTGTATACCAGGCTCCGCTTCCAGGACCCCATTGTCCAGCTGTCCAATCAGTTGCAATCGCGTCAGACTCGTCCCTCCCTCAGCATAGAGGCCTTCGATACCCCTGAACGTCTGCGGTGGAGGGCTGCTCTCCCTGCGTCCTTTGTGTCTGACACGTCTGCCCATCTGTCTCCTACCACGCAGCCTGTGCAAGGGACCTCTCGCTGCAGCCTTATGGATGTTTCGGGCATCGTTACGCGTACCTATGCATGCCCACACTGCCCGCAAACCTTGCCCTTCGCACCCACTGCACCAAATCACATGGGCCATCATCAGACCAAGTTGTCGCACCTCCTGCTGAGCCTGATGTTCCACACGGCTCGACCAAGACCATGCCACCTCCTGGCAATGCGGCCGCCACCTTGATTCCTTCCACTAGTGAGGGTGTTTCTCACCTTCGACCTCCTTCGCAACAACAGCTACGTGCACGGTTCATGCATTTTGCTAAGGATGGTATGCCCCACTGCACCCTGTGCAACAGGAAGTTTGCTGCTTGGCCACCCTTTCTCAACCATCACTACACCAACTCCTGCCCGGCTCAGGTTCACGACGAGTCCCTGATCAAGAACCCTGCTGCGCCTGCCGCCTCCTCTTCTGTCTCGGCCGCAGTTCCTGCTTCCAGTGTCGACCACTCCGAGCTTCCTGCCGCCCCACCTACACAGGCTGATGCCTCCTCGCCCACGGTCACTCCCTCGGATGCACTGCCGCTCCTTCAACGCCCTGCCATTCGTGATTTAGCTCTTCAGGACGACTGGCAGCTCCTGGCTCGCCAACTTCGCTCCATGCACACCGGCCAAGGGTTGAAACACTGCCCTGTTTGTCATCAGTGGTTCACTCGCACGCAGGACATCTTCCGTCATCTGAAGCGTCAGCACCCGCTTCCTGCGATTCTTGAATCCCTGCGAGCTGACTGGCTCACAGCGCGTACAGCAGCAGCCCGCTCCCCCTGTAGCTGGTGCAGGCTCACGGTCTCCTTCAAGACCCAACACGTTGCCGCGTGCCCTGTTCTGCAGCAAACTATCACCCTTCGCCTTCTCGTCCGGCATGAGCTTGGCCTCTGCACAGGCTCTGGGCAGCGGCCTCTCTCGATGTGGCGAACAAACGTCACGAGATGGAGGATGCGGAAGACCAAGAGAAGGAGCGGGACACGAAATGGGCCAGACCGGAATCCAAGGGTGGTTTCGGCCGGGGCGGGCGAGGAAAGGGCAATCAGCTGGGCCAGTCCAAGAACCAAGGCCCTCGCAGACAGCCGATTCGCCGATCGACAGAGGGAATGATGTGGTTGCTGGGCAAGCTTCTTCTACGCCACGAGGACCAAATGGGTATAGACAGGACTCAGGACGGCTTTGTCATGTTCTTCAAGAGGGAGAGTGCTCTCTCTCTGGTTCCTCTTTTCGTGCAGAAATCTCAGCACTGGCACGCCCTGAAAGAGCAGAAGCAGGAGAAGATGGACGAGATTGCTATGCCTCTGAGGTCCTTCCTAATGCACACCATGCTGGAGACCCTCGTGACGAGAATCAAGGACACCGTGAAGAGCGAGGAGCAGCTGAAGACCGCCACCACCCTACAGGTGTTCTTGCCGAAGGAGGGCGATCTGGAGCTTCGCATACCATTCTTGAGCTACAATCCAGAGACCAAGGCTCTGGTGCCCCGTCAGGATCAGGAGCCCATCTACGTCTCCAAGATGCTCGAGAAGCTGCAACTCCTCGAAAAGCAGTGTCTCTGTCCTCTGGCCATCATGCGCTTCCATTTCACCCAGCGTCTCAACGGCCCACTTCAGGGACCCACGGTCCCCTTCCTCCTCCAGGTGGGCTTTCGGTCGCCGGAAGCAGCCGAGCTCTATCTGAGCCTCCGATCGCTGGCCAACTCAGCGATCTGGCAGCTGGTGGGCGGTTCTCTGCGCCCAGAGAAGATGGGCCGCTCAGCCCTAGCAGCCGAGCTCGCCCGTCGCCTGCAGGGGTCCTGCACTCAGATTGCCTTTATGTCCAGACACCTGTGCTACTCCGAATCACCAATTCCTCCAATCACTGCTATGCCAATTCGGTTCTCTGCTGCCTTCACTGGGCCAACCAACTGTTCTGCTCCTGTATGGCTCGCCCTCAGGTGATATGGTCTGAGGCCATGCATTCAGTCGTGCGGCGAATGGTCACACAGGCGCCTGCTCCGGACCTTTGGTCCTCCCTTCAGTGGTCGCTTCTCCATACTCCCTGGACCCGCCCACACTCCCAGCATGATGTGGCTGAGTATCTTGTCTTCTGTCGCAGGTTTGTCATTCCGGATCTGCTCTTGGGCAGGTGGCAAAACCGCCTTCTTATTGCGGACGACAACCATCCCCGCTGCCAGGTGCGCGACTGTGGGGACGCATGGCCCATGCTCCTTGCTATGCCTCCATCTCAGTGTCGCTGTGGTCCCGATAGTAGACTCACGATACAACGACTTATTCATGCCTGGCAGGATCAAGCAGCTGCTGGCCTCACTGCACTGGACAGTGAGCCGGGTCTTTTGGTTTTGCAGGTCAACAGGTTTAGTACCACGGCCACTGGGGCCAAGGATGCCACTCGTGTGCTGCCGGACCCCCGCATCTTGCTACCATGCTTTCAGCATCGCCCTCTCCCGCATGACTCCACCCTAACTGTCCGATACTGCGAATACCAACTGATTGCAGTGATTTTGCACGAGGGTCCAAATGCAGCCTCTGGTCACTACCGTGCCCTCCTCTGCACATATCCTCCAGATGCGGAGCCGACCTTTTGGATGTGCGATGATTCAAAAGAGCCGATCATCCAATCCGAGATGCCACCGCAAGCTTTGACCACAGGTTATTTGTATTTCTACTGCCGCACTATGCAGTCTTCAGCATGTTCGGATCATTGACGGGCCATCCGTGGCATGTCCGTTCATTGCTATGACTGCCAGCACGTTTCTCACCGACATGTGCAATAGCACATGGCTCACAGCAGCCGGGGTGGCTCCCTGTCATAACAGCCTCGCCAAGCGGACCTCCTCTGCAGCGTCTGAAAGAAAGATATATATATATATATATATATATATAGACAGTCTAGATATATGCATGTATATGACATACATATATGTACAACTGTTTGAATCGTGTAAGTTACACACACCCTTTCACGTTAGATTTACATCTATTTAGATATTTGTACTTAAGTTGATGTCTACATCTGCTTACATATGTTCACATATATACACATATACATATGAGTTGAGATGGTCAGGCAGGGATAGGTGTACATAGAGCTACAAACGATGGGCACGAAGACAGATGGAGACAAAAGCAGAGTGCTGATGGAGAGCCGCAGACAGACGAAGCCTGCAGCTGATAGCTAGTTTCTGTAGTTCACAGGTAACCGGCCGTGGGCGAAAGCAGCAGAAGTGTGGACCTTGGTGAAGTTCTTGGGTTCGTCAACTGAGCAGGCGGATCCTTCAGCATCAGGTGAGTGCAACGAGCGACGTTGCATCACCTTCGTCCGAGGCCTATTGCAGCTGGACGCTCAGGGAGCACAGACCATTCCGGGGCCCGGGGAGCTTTGAAGTCGGGCCCCGCTGTCGTGAGGCAGCACCTCGCCGCCTCGGAGACCTCGTTTGGCATGGCCGACGGCCCGTCTTCGAAACCGATCTCCATGTCTTCAGCAATCAGAATGGCGTGCATCCTCTTCCGAGGTCAACCGCGCCAGGCGCCAGCATTGCGACAGTGCCATGCAGCTCGCGAACATGCTCCGGAAGGAGCCGTTCGCACGAGTCCGCTCAAACAGCGACGCCTTCCCGTCAAGCGGCAAACTCTCCGAGCTCGCCTTGGGGGGGCGACTCACGTCCATCCAGTCCTTCCCGGTCCCGAGATCTGGAACAACCCTTCGTGGCAACCAGAGCCAGCATTGCAGAGTCATTCGCCAAGGCTCAGGCTGAACCACTTAAAGCACCGCGCCTGAATTGGAAGCTCCCGGCCAGCGCGGCTGGGCCGCTCCCTCCAGCGGAGGAACCAGCAGCCAGCCCGCGGCACAGCGCAGGATCTGTGCAGCCGCCTGGGCTCGCCAGTGAATTTGTTTCGGTCGATGCTCCTGCTTCGCTGCGTGCAAACACGCCGCGGGCCATTCGCACCGACCGCTTGCCTCAGGCTGTATCAATCATCTTTCCGCAGCCTATGTTGTCACAGCCGGCATCCCTGCCACCGGCTCACATGCTACCCCCACCCATGCCGTCCACGTCCTGTGCCCAACCAAGCCAGATCCGCCCACATGCGTCGCCTTGTGCACCATCGCGCTCGCTGAATGGCAACGTCCAGGCTGGGCGTCAAATCAGGAGCATCGAGACGGATTAGTTCAAGCTGACCAGGCTGGCTCCTGCCCATACAGTGCCATCGACCCGACTGCAGGCCCTTGTGCACCGCCGCAGACTCGGTGCCCCTTGCAGCTTTCCGTCTTGTGATAGCGCAATCGATGTCGCGTTAAGCCCTCACTTTCCATTGCATCACATCGCAAGGAAGAAAGTTTAGGGAGCTTTTGGCTCGATCCTCTGGTTTCTGCATCCATGAGGTGCGTGGTGTCGCTATGGGCCACGTTCACTTGCGCATTTCTTTCATCTGAAAGTTTTGTCTTTGCCCTGGTGGAAGACTTTGACGTTCCTTTCGCACAAGCCGCGATCTTCGCTGCTGAGCTTCCACGGGTACGTGATTGCGACAATGGGCCGAGCAGCAGCTGCAAGAACCCCTTCGTAGCGATGACGGCCTGGCGATACGCAAGCAACAACTTGCGACGGGCCGTCGCTAACCTGCCAGAATCCGAAAGGCAGATGCACAAAAGCACCGTCGCGCTTATTGCACAGATTTCTGCGGAGATCGAGGCCTTCTTCAAAGAGCCAACGGCCGAGACCATGATGATCGCCGTGGGGAATGCCAGACAAGTCTTCGATGCACTGAAAGAGTGGATGACACACTCACCGCCGACGCGAATGCAGCTGGACAGCGATAGAGTAGGCCTCCCATTTCTGTATGGGGGTCGGTCATTGCGGCTTCCTTCCAATGCTCAGGCCCAGCCTGGAGATGCAGAGGTCCGGCTGGGCAATGGGGTAGAAATGCCACTGCTGGGTTTTGGAACCTGGCAGCTGATGGGTCAGCAATGCTTTGAGGCCACTCTGCATGCACTGAAGATCGGCTACAGACATGTGGATACCGCACAATCCTATGGCAATGAAGCCGAAGTCGGGCGAGCTCTTGCTGCAGCCGGCTTATCCAGGCATGAGCTGTTTCTTGCTACGAAGTTAAGCAACCCGGAGGAGTACACTGCTTTACGGGCTCGCTTCGAAGCTCAGCTGCGGGAACTTCGCACTGATTATCTGGACTTGTACATGTTGCATTCTCCTGGGCCTGGAGCTTCATCGGAAGCCACACGCGCAGCTTGGCAAAGCATGGAGCAGCTGTACCACGAAGGTCGCATACGCGCGCTTGGTGTATCGAACTTTGGCCCAGAGGAGTTGGAGAATCTGTTGAGCTACGCTACCTTGCCACCTGTTTATGTGCAGAATAAGTTCTCGGTCTACACACCTGGTGAGCAGCGAGTCAACCATGATGTTTCCATCATGAGCTATTTGAAGGACAAAAACATTGTCGCGTGGCTCAAAAGGGAGCTTTGTGGACTCGTTCAGTTTAAAATACTCCCAGCCTTTAGCTGACAAGCACTGCGGCTCGGAAACAGGTGATGATGGGATATTCGGTGATCAACCCCTGGCCTGGGGTCATCCCACCTTTGCAAGATCCGCATGTCACGGCCATCTCTGCCAGAAAACAGAAGACGCCTTCGCAGGCCAAGCGGTTTTGGCTTCGAAATTCGTAAACCCGGGAACACTAAACCCTAAACCATTATTTTTTCGCCTGAAGGTCCTCCATCGCTGGGCACTGCAGCTTGGCGCGGGCGTGATCCCGAAGTCAGTCAGTGCTGCCAGAATCGTGGCTCGGAGGGCACTTTCGAGAGAACCCCCAGTTTCAAGGCTTGAGTTGCCTTTTTTTATCCTCAGCTGAAAATCTGGCTGCCCAGACCAAGGAGGAGAATGCACGGCTGTTCGATTTCAGTCTCAGTGACGCGGAGATGCGGCTCCTCAGCGGGATCGTCACGCTGGTTGAAAGTACAGTCTCCAATGTCGTGCCAAAGTGGATGGAAGACGCTCGGAGGGTGATACTAAGCCCCTGCAGTGCCTGCAGTTACATGACCTGTAGCAGTGAGCAGCTGGCACGTCAATGTGCCGGAGTTTGCCGAATGCCGAACTTAGGACTCCTTCAGCCTCGGAGTTGGAGAGTGACGAGATTGAATCTTCAGTTTGCATCCGGACCTTGCTCCTGGTGCGGTAGCTGAAGATCTCTAGAGCTTCAAAGTCCGCTACTGCTTGTGGGCCTTTGACATGGTGCCGAGACTCCGTTTCGCGCTGGAGGGGCGAATCGCAGCGAGTGGCGGGGAATTGACCTCATGAAATCGCTGACAAGACGATGGTCTGCGGCGCTCCTCCGGTTCGATCTCTTCACGAAGACGAAGCAGGCTGAGCAGAGCGCAAGAGCACCGGTGCGAAACAACATAGGCAGTCTCTGCTCACGGGCGCGGAGAGGAAAAGGCATCTGAAAGCATTGGAATGTAGATCCTGATGGCTCAGCAAGAAACAAGGAAAGGTGACCTGTGAAACTGCACAGCAGGAAGACCACCCCCCTGCTGATCCAAGCCTCCACCAAAGTAAATGTGTCGCCTGTGGCCTTCGACTCTGAGGCAGATCGTCTTTGCATTGCCAGGGCGGCCCAGGAGTGTTTGTGTCCTCAGCTTTCTGTAGGCATCTCTTGCAGCATCTTGCGGCGTTGCTTCAAGAAAAGGTAGTTTTTAGCAACTTTGGCAAGCCACTAGGTCTCACCTGTCGCATTGGGAATGGCACGTCGTGCATCCTTGCAGAGGCCGGTCACGAACTCCGAAATGACTTTCCTCTAGCTATTGTCGCCTGGCAGGAGTTGCACGCCGCCACCTGCAGTTGGGTGTGCGCCTCACATGTAGTGCAGGACTGCATGTAGAGATATCGCCATCCCTGTGTCAAGGCCATCATCTTATGTGACCTTTGGCAAGGCCAGGACTTGTAGATCTCTTGGGATTCACTTTGTCGCAGTGCCATGTACTAGGCATGGCCATGCTGGACTGAGCAAAGACTGGCCGGCCATGGCTTTCAAAGGCGTGGCTCGTGCCCTTCGAAGGATATGCAGATTGCCTCACACGGCGTAGTGTTAATGTAATGCAAGTCGGTCGGCTGCTCTTCAGCTAGTTGCATCGTGTAGCGGACCTACAGTCAGCAGTTTCTCGACACCCCAAAACTCCTTCACTGGCAGACACGATGGCAGAGCTGAGCGCAGACATGCTTCCTGGGATCGCAATGGCAACCTCAGCAAGCTAGTCTGACCCTTCCCTAGCTACACATTGTTGTATCCCAGGACAGTGGGTAACATATGCTCGAGCAACATAGTTGCTTTCCTGTCATGCCGGAGGCAAAGATGGAACCGGATAAATGCATGGATGTCGCGTGCTTTGTGCGCTCGACGTGCCTGAAGAAATTCGCACGCGATATCTTGCGGAGCCGATGCAGGCGAAAAGCGGCCCCTTGTTGCATCATGCAATGCTGGACGGCATAGAGGGACGGAAGGTGCTTCTTGCGTCAAAGCCATGCCCCTGCAGTTACCTGGTGAGTGCTGCAGCCATGGCGGTCGCAGCGTGTGTTTGCGCATGGGTCTGAGGATTGCTGAAAGGTGATTGTGTGCTAGGGTGGGAGAGCTTTGATGCTGTCGCCCAGATGCTTTGCATTCTGATTCTCCTCTTCATTCGCCACAACATCAAGAACGAAGCCAGCTACTCAAAAACAACAAACCTCACTGTGTCCGCTCCAAGGGTGTAGCTGATGCATTCTCAGGTGCATCATCGCATCATTCTGTTCCAGTTCGGCATTGCTGCTTATGTAGAGACCACCAACTTCTTGCTGGATGTGTCTGCAGCTTACTCTGCGGTTCGTCAGACCTTTGGCCGATGCGTTGTCTGATTTCACAGTCTGAGAGGCTTGCAAAATTTCTCACGAACTATGAGAACCATCGGACGCAAACGGAGTATGAAACATCTCTCCTTTGCAAGGCCAGGACTGGACTGCCAAACAGCTGTCCCGTGTAGAGATGTGTTGCGAGGGCATGATGCTCAAGTTCGTGAACTCCTTCTTCGCGCTCTACTATGTGGCTTTCTTCAAAGAGCTCGAAGCTCATTCCATGGACCGGAAGAGAGTCTCGATGTGATTTCTGATTAGCTTGGAAAGCACATGAAGGCATCAGACGCTCTTCAGCGAGCCCATGGAGTGCCTCAGACGGGGCCTCAGTTGCCATCACTGTAAGCAGCCAAGTGAACCACAGGCCATGGAGAGCAGAGCTCTCACAACGGCAGAGAAGTATGCGAAGATCTCAACCTTCTTTGTGCACGCATATCGTAACAACGACACTCCCCTCCGCAAGCTCTTGCAGCCGCTTGAACCACGGTGCAGCCGATCTTGTTTCGAGATCCACAGTGATCTACATATTTGGGATCATGTTCGCATTTTGAGAGATAAGACGACCTCATAAAATAACATATAATATCATATATATATATATATATATATAATGGTATTGTTGGCTTTCGGTTTCTCCGCTTCTTGGCTCTTTGGCTTCCTGGCTTCTAGGTTCTTAGCTTCTAACTTTGCCTTCCCGGTCTTCGGCTATTTTGGCTTTGTTGGGTCTAGGGTTTAGGGTTTTCTCTTTTTTTCCGGCACTGGCTGGCATCTCTGCTGTTACCACGATTTTTGGCTTCTGGTTTTTTTATGTCATGCAGCAGTCGGTATTACAGTAGTCAGTCAGTTGCAGGATGGCAAGAAGAGTCATGTACTGTGGTCATGTGTGCTGGGCCACAAGGCAGAACAGCTGTTAGATATTCTCATTTCAGATCTTCATGCTCGGCTGGAATGGCTCTAATTTTAACGCTACGCCGCCCGCCTCGGCTGTGTAGCGGCAGGGCGAGGGGGCAGTCGATGTTCTTTTATGCTAGGGCGGCCTGTCAAACCCCAAGCTTTACACAGTTGTTGATACGAAGTGCCAGGAACAGGGGGACAGGGGGAGGGAGGGGGGGAGTGGGGGGAGGGGGGGGGCGGGGGGGAGGGGGGGGAGGGGGGGAGGGGGGGGGGGGGAGGGGGGGGAGGGGGGGGAGGGGGGGGGAGAAGGAGGCGACAAATCATGTAAAATGAGGGAAGGGAGGCCTGGGAGGGGGGTGGGGAGGCCGACAAATCAGGTAAAATGAAGGGAAGCCGGGCAAGGGGGTGGCTCGGCTGCCGGGAGGAGGATTAGGGCCTGAGGTAACCACCAAAACGCCTGGGCCTCTGGCCTCGGCGGATTTTCTAATACCATCACGTTTACATTGTTCCTGTTGCGAATACTGTCACCGTTGCTACTATCTTCACCTGACCTTGCCGTTCGTATTACCATCATGATTGCATTGCCAGAAGATGCCAGTTTCGATCAGTCATTTTTGTTGCTCTTGCTAGTACTACCACTATTATTTCTTGTGGCACACAAAGGATTGTTCGTTTCTTTTATCGCTACTATCACTTTTTGCCGCGATTCTTCATGACTGTCTCTACGCGGTTGCTACGAGGAGTACACACACCGGTATTGCCATTTCTGCCCTGGGCACCACGTGACTGGCCTCAAACCTTCGCACCAATAACCGAGGGTCTTCTCCCCAGCATCATCGCTCCATGGTGTTGCGAATCTGGTTGGAGAGAAGTATGAAGTATGCAATCAACATCAAGCAACGCACGAATATCTACATATCTACAAATCGTGGCGAAGTGGATGAAGGCCACGCCATCAACTGCTAGCGGTACAGTCGAGCTTCGCTGCCTGCTCCAGGAGATCAGTGCTTCCTGGACATACAAGCGCAGCTGGGGTGCGCCTGATGTGACACACTTTCGAGCTTGTGACATGTACGCCTAGCCAGCAGCATTAAGTGGTGCTTATCGGTTCTATGCCGGCAGAATCTTCGTGCTGTTCCGGCTGTTTGTTTCCAATGTGTCTTCACCTCAGATCTTCGCCTCGCAGGTTTCAGCCTCGTAGGCTCGTGACGGACCGCCCATGCATCACTCAGGTTTGAGCACTTCTTTCCCAAGATTCGTCTTTGGTTTCGGAGTTTGTGCCTCCGCCAGTGCCAGGGCAGAGCGATCGACGTAAGCGTGCAGAGAGAGGTCCCATTGTGAACTCCGGTGACATGCCGGCTTGGCTCAAGCCAGACTAGAGCCAACAGCAGGATCACTTGTGCAGTCTGTGTCCATTTCATAGGAAACCTTACGTACTGCGTCTGAAGCGCCTGACGAATGTCGCAGCAACAGCAGCCATGTTCCCAGTCACCTCAAGATTTCCAGACTTCTGAGCTGTCAGGCCAAACTCTTGTGTTGCTCATTCTGCCGAAGCCTGCAGTGCTGTTACTTTATGATCCGTTCCTGAAGAGGCAAAGACAAAACTCCCCAAGCGGAAAGCGGCCAGCCGACGCAGCCAGACCGAACAGGCTGCAACTGCCCAAATTGAGAGCAGGGAGCCTTTGCAAGTCCGGTTCCATATGATCTGTAGGATCTCAGAAGCGTCGCGCTGAAGACGATCTTGATGACCAGAAGCCGAAGGCGGAGTTCACCGTGGTAGAGACCATCGGGACGCCCGGCGAAGAGTATAGGAGTATGTACGTAGGACCTTTAGGTCCTATTTGGCGTAGGGCTTGCTCTGTGTCTTAATATATACTGTGTATATACGCAATTAAAAATTTAAAGAATTTAAAAAATTTAAAGGGAGTAAATCCTTTAAATTCTGAAATCGTCCGGAATTAAAAATTTAAAGAATTTAAAAAATTTAAAGGAGGGAAATCCTTTAAATTCTGAAATCGTCCGGAATTAAAAATTTAAAGAATTTAAAAAATTTAAAGGAGGTAAATCCTTTAAATTCTTTAAATTCTGAAATCGTCCGGAATTAAAAATTTAAAGAATTTAAAGAATTTTAAAAATTTAAATGTCCAGCTCCAGCTCCAGCCCCAGCCCCCCAGCCTTCGACCCCAGCCCACGGAATTAAATTTTTAAAATTCTTTAAATTCTTTAAATTCTGAAATCGTCCGGAATTAAAAATTTAAAGAATTTAAAAAATTTAAAGGAGGTAAATCCTTTAAATTCTGAAATCGTCCGGAATTAAAAATTTAAAGAATTTAAAAAATTTAAAGGAGGTAAATCCTTTAAATTCTGAAATCGTCCGGAATTAAAAATTTAAAGAATTTAAAAAATTTAAAGGAGGTAAATCCTTTAAATTCTTTAAATTCTGAAATCGTCCGGAATTAAAATTTAAAGAATTTAAAGAATTTAAAGAATTTTAAAAATTTAAATGTCCAGCTCCAGCTCCAGCCCCCCAGCCTTCGACCCCAGCCCACGGGATTAAATTTTTTAAATTCCTTAAATTCTTTAAATTCTGAAATCGTCCGGAATTAAAAATTTAAGAATTTAAAAGAATTAAAGGAGGTAAATCCTTTAAATTCTGAAATCGTCCGGAATTAAAAATTTAAAGAATTTAAAAAATTTAAATGGAGTAAATCCTTTAAATTCTGAAATCGTCCGGAATTAAAAATTTAAAGAATTTAAAAAATTTAAAGGAAGTAAATCCTTTAAATTCTTTAAATTCTGAAATCGTCCGGAATTAAAAATTTAAAGAATTTAAAGAATTTTAAAAATTTAAATGTCCAGCTCCAGCTCCAGCCCCAGCCCCCCAGCCTTTGACCCCAGCCCACGGAATTAAATTTTTAAAATTCTTTAAATTCTTTAAATTCTGAAATCGTCCGGAATTAAAAATTTAAAGAATTTAAAAAATTTAAAGGAGGTAAATCCTTTAAATTCTGAAATCGTCCGGAATTAAAAATTTAAAGAATTTAAAAAATTTAAAGGAGGTAAATCCTTTAAATTCTTTAAATTCTGAAATCGTCCGGAATTAAAAATTTAAAGAATTTAAAGAATTTAAAGAATTTTAAAAATTTAAATGTCCAGCTCCAGCTCCAGCCCCAGCCCCCCAGCCTTCGACCCCAGCCCACGGAATTAAATTTTTAAAATTCTTTAAATTCTTTAAATTCTGAAATCGTCCGGAATTAAAAATTTAAAGAATTTAAAAAATTTAAAGGAGGTAAATCCTTTAAATTCTGAAATCGTCCGGAATTAAACATTTAAAGAATTTAAAAATTTAAAGGAGGTAAATCCTTTAAATTCTTTAAATTCTGAAATCGTCCGGATTTCAAAATTTAAAGAATTTAAAGAATTTAAAGAATTTTGAAAATTTAAATCTTCAGCTCCAGCCCCAGCCCCAGCCCCCCAGCCTCCGACCAGCCCCAGCCCCCAGCCTCCGACCCCAGCCCCAGCCCCAGCCCCAGCCTCAGGCCCCGCCCCCACCCAGTCCTAGCCCCAGCCCCCAGCCCCCCCAAGGGGGCCTAGGGGCTGGGGCTGAGGCTGGGGGGGCGAACGTAGCTGGGCTGGCGGGCCCTTGGGTGGGGCCGTAGGGCCAGGGGCCAGGAGCTGGGGCGGGCTGGGGGTGGGATGGGGAGGAGTAGGTGGTGGGTGGTGGGTGGTGGGTAGTGGTGGCTGGCGGGTGCTGGGTAGTGGTGGGTGGTGGGTGGTGGGTGATGGGTGGTGTGGTGGGTGGTGTGTGGTGGGTGGTGTTGGTGGGGAGGGTGTGGGTGGTGGGCGTGGCGGGTGAGGGGTGCCGGGTGGTGGATAATAGGTGGTGGGTGGTGGGTGGTGATGGGGTACAAGGCAAGGGGCTGAGATAGGGGGGTGGGTAGTGAGGTATGAAGGGGGCGGGAGGGTGGAGTGGGGGCAAGGGTGTATAATCCCTGCGAGCCGCGACCGAGCAGAAAGCCTGTAAATGCCGCGTTCAAAAAACGGCCAGGGATCCCACACATCTGCGGGCAAAATCTGGCGGAAGTGATCCGCCACCAAGCAAAAAGCCTGTAAATACCGCATTAAACAAAGGGCCAGGGATTTCACATATCTGTTGGCAAAATCTGACAGAAGTACCGATTGCTCACTTCCGCCAGATTTTGCCACCAGATATGTGAAATCCCTGGCCCTTTGTTTAATGCGGTATTTACAGGCTTTTTGCTCGGTGGCGGATCGCTTCCGCCAGATTTTGCCTGCAGATGTGTGGGATCCCTAGCCCTTGAAGTGGTGGGTGAGACACGGCGGTTTGGAGCCTGCTGTCTCTTCCCATCCGCGTTCAAAAAACGGCCAGGGATCCCACACATCTGCGGGCAAAATCTGGCGGAAGTGATCCGCCACCAAGCAAAAAGCCTGTAAATACCGCATTAAACAAAGGGCCAGGGATTTCACATATCTGTTGGCAAAATCTGACAGAAGTACCGATTGCTCACTTCCGCCAGATTTTGCCACCAGATATGTGAAATCCCTGGCCCTTTGTTTAATGCGGTATTTACAGGCTTTTTGCTCGGTGGCGGATCGCTTCCGCCAGATTTTGCCCGCAGATGTGTGGGATCCCTAGCCCTTGAAGCGGTGGGTGAGACACGGCGGTTTGGAGCCTGCTGTCTCTTCCCATCCGCGTTCAAAAAACGGCCAGGGATCCCACACATCTGCGGGCAAAATCTGGCGGAAGTGATCCGCCACCAAGCAAAAAGCCTGTAAATACCGCATTAAACAAAGGGCCAGGGATTTCACATATCTGTTGGCAAAATCTGACAGAAGTACCGATTGCTCACTTCCGCCAGATGTTGCCACCAGATATGTGAAATCCCTGGCCCTTTGTTTAATGCGGTATTTACAGGCTTTTTGCTCGGTGGCGGATCACTTCCGCCAGATTTTGCCCGCAGATGTGTGGGATCCCTAGCCCTTGAAGTGGTGGGTGAGACACGGCGGTTTGGAGCCTGCTGTCTCTTCCCATCCGCGTTCAAAAAACGGCCAGGGATCCCACACATCTGCGGGCAAAATCTGGCGGAAGTGATCCGCCACCAAGCAAAAAGCCTGTAAATACCGCATTAAACAAAGGGCCAGGGATTTCACATATCTGTTGGCAAAATCTGACAGAAGTACCGATTGCTCACTTCCGCCAGATTTGCCACCAGATATGTGAAATCCCTGGCCCTTTGTTTAATGCGGTATTTACAGGCTTTTTGCTCGGTGGCGGATCACTTCCGCCAGATTTTGCCCGCAGCCTCCTCCTCATCCCTCGTCCTCCTCCCATACCCCTCCCTCCCTCTCCCTATCCCTCCCACTACCCCCTCCCCTCACCTTCCTCACTCTCCCCCACCTCCACTATCCTGGAATCTCCACCCTCCCCCACCCTCCCTTCTCTCCTTCTTAAATATCCCCCTAAGGTTTTGTGAAAACTCAGATCCCAAAACCACAGATCTTAAGGGGTGTCCCCCTAAAGGTTTTCATGACAAGTAAGTGCAAAAAGCACAAATCGCAAGGGGTGTCCCCCTTAAGGTTTTGTGAAGATTCAAATCCCAAAACCACAGATCTTAAGGGGTGTCCCCTAAAGGTTTTCATGACAAGTAAGTTCAAAAATCACAAATCGCAAGGGGTGTCGCCCTAATATTTTGTAAGAACTCAGATCCAAAAATCACAGATCGCACGGGGTGTGCCCCTCTCAGGCTTTGTAAGAACTCAGATCCAAAAATCACACATCGCAAGGAGCGTCCCCCTAAAGGCGTTTGTAAATGATCCACCCTGTCCCTCTCACTTGCCTCCTACCTCCCCCACTCCTAACTCATTCCTTCCCTTCCCATCTCATGTCTCCTCACCTCCCATCACTTTTTCTCCCATCCACTCATCTTCTTATCATCTTCTTATCACCTTCATCACTTTTTAATTTGTCTTATGGGGTCTATAGAGCCCATATAGAAAGCTTCATAGATATATAAACCTTACAGATCCTCGAGATACAGAACTTGTAGGAACCGCTTATGTTTCCCACAAATGGAGTCCTTTATAAAAAATTGAAAGATCGACTATATGGAGCCCTCATACACAGTCTTTATATACTCCTTATAGAAATCTATAGATCCTTTGTACAAATCCCTGATATGGAACCCTTTGTAGAAAACCCTTAGACTATACAATCCAAAGAACGCACCCACCCTCCACTCCCTCTACCTCTCCACCCATCTCCCCACTCCCTCCTCTTCCCCTCCCTTTGTCCACCCGCCCTCCCCTCTCCCCACCTTTTCCTTGCGCTCCCTCTACCTCCTCTCTCCACCCACCCTCTTCTCCCTGTTCCTCTCCACCCTCTCCCCACTCACTCACCCAACCCACTCAGCCCGGCCAGGCTCCCCAGCTGGCCCTGCCTCAAAGCAAGCCGGGCGTGCTGGCCGTGGATCTCAGCAGGCCCCTGCCCACCCTCGAGAGCCCACCAGGCTCAGCAGGCCAGGCCGCAGGCAAGCTGCGAGCTGGCCGCCTTCGGCAAGCTGTCTAACATTGTTTCTTATCCACTTTCACCTATTCCCCCGCTTCAGTCCATGCCCTACCTTTCACTCCTTTCCAGACCCTTCTGATATGAGTAAAATGAGAGGAGGAGGTCAGAGGGACGAAGAACAGCTCTCTCCATTACTTTCTCATCTGCTTTGACCCCTTCCCTTTCCTGGCTCCATGCATGCCCTGCGAGAAGAGAAGAATAAGAGAGAAAAGAGGAAGAGCAGAGGAGAAACTGGTTTCCCCTCTTTCATTACGTAGCATTTCTTTTGGCCACTTCCTCCACACTTCTCGTATCTTCCTCTCTCTTCTTCCTCTGCTGGGCTTGAAGCTCTCTCTCGCCCTCTCCGCAACTCTCTTCTTTCTGTCGAGCGGACGAGCGGTGGGAGAGGAAGGGCACAAGGTGAGTGAAGACGAGAACACTTCTTCCTTGTCTTCCTCCACAACCTCTTCCTGGTTTTTTACCAATGAGACGGTGAGATAGGACAAGCAAGGCACTTTCGACTGCTTTCTGCATCGCTTCCCCTCCCCTCCTTTCTCTCACTCTCTGCCTCTGTTTTTGCTGGTCTTTCTCTCTTACTTTCTCTCTTTGTTTCTGTGTTTGTTTCCTTATGGCTCTCGTTCTTCTTCTGCCCTTCTCGGATTGTCTCTCCGCTTCTGTTGTCTTTCTCTTACTCCCTTGTCTTCTTCCTTGTGAATTGTCCTTCTTCCTTCTGAGTGATAGAGGGAGAAGGACGGGAGGCAGGAAAGGCAGGAGGAGAAGGAATAGGGGGCAAGCGATTCTTTCCAAGCGAACATAATAGGCGGAGAGAAGCGGAAAAGGGAATGTGCAGAAGTAGACGGGAAGGGAGGGAGGGAGAAAGAGGGATCTGGAGAGAACAATGAAAAGGAGGATGGTGAGGTGATGAGAAGAGTGCCCTTTGCATGCCCTGAACTCTCCGTTCCTTTCATTTCTCCTTCCTTATGAAGATGAATAGGGTAAGAGAAGAGGAAGAAGGCGAAGGGCAAGGAAGTAAGAGAGGCGAGCGAAGGAGGAATTCTCCTTTCTTCTCCGAACCGTCTTCCCGCATCTTACCGCTTCCTTTCTGTTGTCTGCTCTTCTTTCCTTATGTCTTCGCAGAGCCCTTCCTCCTTATCCTTTTCTTTCCTCTGGTCATTCAAAAAGGAAACGATGAGGAGACGCGAACTGATTCTCCTTGCTCCTTCTTACCACACTCTGCTTCTCTACATCCCCCTGCTTTCTTTATACTCGGTTTGGTGTTCATGTCCTCAAGAGGCCCCCTTAGGGAGGAAGTTGGTGGCCTCCAGAAAGTTGTGGAAGTGTCTGAAGGCGCCTACAAGCCTCCTCGAAGCCCTCGCGAGGCCCGGAGTCCTTTGAGATACGGCAACACTGGTACTCTCTCGCTTCCTCTTCTGTGTCCTTCTTCCTAGTCTTCCTCGTTTCCCTTTCTTTCGCACTCGACTTCCCCCACTCTCTGTCTATGACTTTCTCTTATCCACTTTCACCTATTGCCTCGCTTCAGTCCATGCCCTAGCCTTCACTCCTTTCCAACCCCTTCTGACATGAGCAAGCATCAGGAGAATGAGAGGAGGAGGTGAGAGGGACGAAGAACAGCTCTCTCCGCTACTTTCTCTCATCCGCTTTGACCCCTTCCCTTTCCTAGCTCCATGCGTGCCCTTTGCTAAGAGAAAAATAAGAGAGAAAAGAGGAAGAACAGAGGAGACAGGGGCTTCCGCCCTTTCATTACGTAGCTTTGGCTTACGCTTCTTTCTTGTGAATCGTCCTTCTTCCTTCTGAGTGATAGAGGGAGAAGGACGGGAGGCAGGAAAGCCAGGAGGAGAAGGAATAGGGCAAGCGATTTTATCAAAGCGAACATAATAGGCGGAGAGAAGCGGAAAAGGGAATGTGCAGAAGTAGACGGGAAGGGAGGGAGAGAGAAAGAGGGATCTGGAGAGAACAATGAAAAGGAGGATGGATGAGGTGATGAGAAAGAGTGCCCTTTGCATGCCCTGAACTCTCCGTTCCTTTCATTTCTCCTTCCTTATGAAGATGAATAGGGTAAGAGAAGAGGAAGAAGGCGAAGGGCAAGGAAGTAAGAGAGGCGAGCGAAGGAGGAATTCTCCTTTCTTCTCCGAACCGTCTTCCCGCATCTCACCGCTTCCTTTCTGTTGTCTGCTCTTCTTTCCTGATGTCTTCGCAGAGCCTTTCCTCCTTCTTATCCTTTTCTTTCCTCTGGTCATTCAAAGAGGAAACGATGAGGAGACGCGAACTGATTCTCCTTGCTCCTTCTTACCACACTCTGCTTCTCTACATCCCCCTGCTTTCTTTATACTCGGTTTGGTGTTCATGTCCTCGGGAGGCTCCCTTAGGGAGGAAGTTGGTGGCCTCCAGAAAGTTGTGGAAGTGCCTGAAGGCGCCTACAAGCCTCCTCAAAGCCCTCGCGAGGCCCGGAGTCCTTTGAGATACGGCAACACTGGTACTCTCTCGCTTCCTCTTCTGTGTCCTTCTTCCTAGTCTTCCTCGTTTCTCTTTCTTTCGCACTCGACTTCCCCCGACTTTCTCTTATCCACTTTCACCTATTGCCTCGCTTCAGTCCATGCCCTAGCCTTCACTCCTTTCCAGACCCTTCTGACATGAGTAAGCATCAGGAGAATGAGAGGAGGAGGTGAGAGGGACGAAGAACAGCTCTCTCCGTTACTTTCTCTCATCCGCTTTGACCCTCTCTGTCTATGACTTTCTCTTATCCACTTTCACCTATTGCCTCGCTTCAGTCCATGCCCTAGCCTTCACTCCTTTCCAACCCCTTCTGACATGAGCAAGCATCAGGAGAATGAGAGGAGGAGGTGAGAGGGACGAAGAACAGCTCTCTCCGCTACTTTCTCTCATCCGCTTTGACCCCTTCCCTTTCCTAGCTCCATGCGTGCCCTTTGCTAAGAGAAAAATAAGAGAGAAAAGAGGAAGAACAGAGGAGACAGGGGCTTCCGCCCTTTCATTACGTAGCTTTGGCTTGCGCTTCTTTCTTGTGAATAGAGAATGAAGAGTTCACTTCGTCCATCTTCATGCCGATTCCTTTGTCATGACTTCAAATTCTGTGTCTTCTTGACAAACGGCAGAGTGGATAGGCAGGAAGAGGAACGGGAATGAGAGAAAGACACAGGACGAGAAATACACAAGACAGATTCTTGATGGTTCCCGGCGCGAGAGGGACGGGAGGACATTGTGATAGACTGTGATAGACCCTAAAACCAGCACGGAGAACTTGTAAGAGCGTAAAACCATCTAAATCCTCATAAACTCCAAACCTTAGATCTTCCATAGTATACTGACCCCGGTAAACCATAGTTAGGAGCTAAGACCCTAGACCCTTAAACTCCTGTCGAGACCTTTGCACTGTACACGCTTCGGCCTCCCGATGTAACCGTCGTGCCAGACCTTGTCGTCGCCGTGTTGAACCCAGTCGTCGTCGTGCTAAACCGAGTCGTCGTCGTCCTTGTCGCCGTGGTGTTGTTGCAGTTTAAATACAAAGCCCAGCAGGATTGCCAAATAGACCCTAAAGGTCCATGCCACATAGGAGTATGACATGTCAACTAAAGCAAGTCAAATTATGCTTAACCTGCAATGCGTGCTGGAATGCAATTCAGGTGGGATGATTGGTGAGATGGCCAGAAGAGACCATAGTTTCGTCATGCCCCTGCAGCATGGAGATTGCGCAGAACGGACCTTAATGCAGTGCCGGGCGATCCGTGCATGAACAAAAGTGAGTCCGCTGTGGCAGTCATGTGAAGTGCACTGCTTCAACGAATTCTCAGTGTCGTGCTTGCCATACTTTTGCCACCCCAATCGCAGGTCTTCGTACGACAAGATGACTTTCGAGAATTTCTACCATGGCCTCGCGCTTCAGTCCAACTTCCAAGCTCTAGTTCATGGTCGAGCGAGTCTGTCGAGGCCAAGTCTTGGAGTTGGCGGAAATGTCGGCCACAGAGCAGCAGGCAAAGAAGGCCCGGGGAACTCGAAGGGAGATTTTTTCAATAACCTCTGGCAAGCCCAGATGTTGGGGCTATCAGGAACAGCATCGCAATTTCGATCAGTTTGACGAGATGCTTCTGACGTCAAAGCCTCGGGGTGGCTTGGAAGCTCAGATGTGCAGAACCTGTTCAGGGGTCGGTGCCCAAGGCACGGTTATGCCACTCTCTTTGCAGTCACGTCTCCTTGGGTCTGCACTGCGGTGCGCCTTCCTGTTTGATTCAGTGGAGTGAAGCTGAGCTGTGCAAGCTTGGCGCTTGTGAGCAACACTCTGTGTCTTCAGTTCGTAGAGTAAGCGATTTCGCGTGCTGTGCCAGACGCTGTTGGCCGTCCTCGTGGAGATCTGGGTTGACATGAGAAGCCCGGACCTAAAAGTTTCGACATTGTGGTGGGCAATACGAGCTGCGAGCATTGTCTCAATTTCGTGTGGCTGGAGGCGTGACTTCTCAGACTCACAAGCCTTCCCCCTCCGCAGCCAGCGAAAAGGTAAGGAGGCACCAGGTCTGAGAATGTATTCGAGGGAAGGAAAGGCTTGCTAATTCAATCTCCGACTCCGAACCACACTTTCCAAACACCTCCTGGCACTGCTTGGTGCAGATCAATATCGCGAGAGGTCAGAGGAGAATGACAGTTGCAACGAACAGGACAACGGTGCTACCGAGGTCTTCTGGACAGCAGACAGCGTCCTTTCCCAACCCAGGCGAGGAACAACGAGACCGGGCCTCAGAAAAAGGAAAAGACGGGAAGTCGTTGAAAGCATAGTCTTTTGGATTGTCTGCTGTGCTCAGGCCGTGGGGCGCTGCCTTCGAAATCTATGGTGGGTCTTTGTGTGTTAATGCTCGCAGTTGAATGAATGCATCAATAGGTTGGAATGTTGGCAGGAGTAATGGCAGCTCTGACAAACGTGCTGTTGCTGATCTTCACGTCCTCGCAATACTCTAGTTGGACGATTACGGAGAAGGCCTGCGCTCAATGCGACTCACAATTTTGCTTGCATGTTGTCACACGAAACACAGCTGTCGACTTGACACTTTCAGATCGTCTTTTTCGCCTTCCTGGAGCACTTGATCTTCGGTGCAAGGCACATGTGTGGCGTGTGCACAAAGGGTCTGATTTTTGCAGGAGACACGTGCCAAATCTGTAATCATGCCAGCAATTCAGCTGTCGCCCGATGATGGGCTTGGAACAGACGGCACACTGAGTGCATCTTGTCTTTGTACATTTCTGTGCTACAGCTCTGTCAGGTTGTTCGTTCAGATCATTTTCCCCCAGGCCGGTGTGTCACCACCAGCTTGAGTTCTTGAGTCAGCTCATACTTGGTCCGTGGAGGTGCCACAGGCAGTGGAGGTGTTGTCCCTGAAACAGGACAGTGTTGTCCACCGGTGTTTGGAAGGCATCAAGGCAGGAGACCACGCTGACAAGTGCTGAAGGAGTTTTGCAGTTTTCTTGGCAATGCCAGGTAGAAAGCAACACAGACTTCAGCCTCTTTCGGGAAAGCCGTGTGCAGGAGGATGTGCAGGCCCATGCTGACTTGACTTGAACGATTTTTCGTTTTCGATTGTCATCAAAATACTGCGAGTCGGAAGTCTACATGCTGCACCACTCGCAAACTCCTCCTGTTCCGACCAGGTATTTGGATATGACCTTCTCGAAACGGATGAGGCTTCCGATGCCTGTGGTTGTAATCCTTCGAAGCCACTTGTGACGCTCATGTTTGGCTTTGTCAGGCAGATCTTACCTTATCTTTGAGAGACAGTGGCAAGTCCATGTGGCTCTCTTAATCGTTGCGAAGCCGCCTCGTACATGCTTCTTGCACGTGTTGGCAGCCCAGGTACCAGGGTGTGATTGACGAGGTTGGCACACTACGTGTCAACATCGGCATGCCAGTGAGCAAGTGAGGCCCGGTGTTCGGAAGTCGAATCGGAAGAGCAAGACATTGCTTGACTACACCTCCGGTGAGGGCAGTCTCTGGAGCAAGGCGCTTTATGCACGTTGATACTGATTCGACAAATAGTGACAGCTTCCATGGTGTAGTGGGTTTCCTGACGAACAGCTTATGGTTCCACATGCAAAGGGGAACCCCTAGCAATGTCAGAAACATATAGAACGAGAGGAAACCCGCGACGTAGTTTCACTCACATGACAAGCGGACAATTGCAAACAGATAGCAATTCTGCCAAGAGTTGACATGGTCACGCTGCAACTTCTTCCCAAGCTAGTTGGCATCTTGGACGAGATACGTGGCACCGTTGCGCTTGCCATTGCCGCAGGCAATACGCCGCGCTGTATGCACTTTTCCTTTCCTTCTCTCCACTCGCGACAATATGCCGTTTGTACTGCATGCTGCAATCATCGTAAGGGCAAAGTCTTCTGCGAAGCTCCCGTTGCGAGAGGTGGGAACGTTAATCAAATCGAGCAGTGGTTGAGGCTGCAATCATGACCGTTCGACTGCTTCCACGTACAATCATGCACGTCTCTTTCTTTCGACTGCATGTAGCATGCATTTTGGACTAGTGTACTGTGCTGCTTGGACATTGCTTGGCTGCATAGTCTGCAAGATGCTCCTACAATGGCTCGTTATCATTGATCTCGTCGCAGCATCACGGAAGATGGCTGAGCCGGGTGTTACCGTAGTGGCAGCTCTTCCACGTATGCAAGCAACCGCACATGTTGCTTGACGCGGCTGTCGCATCTAAAGGGATGTGCATTCGCAGAAGAGCAACTATAATTCTTTGTACCACTTCGAAATCATGCGGTCATAAAAGAGGCTTTGATATTCCAAATTTCCCTCCAACTGATATTGATGAATATACAAACTTATAACAAATAACGTATCTATTTACTAATCTGACAGGAAAAGAAAAATATATTTATTGCGAACAACAAGAATAAGTACAATATATTTTCAATTCTTTTCTCTAATATCGATATGAATCTTGTAGTTTTGCTTATCGAGAAAATTTTCAATATTTTTTCATTATATAAAATTATTCGAATATCATTCTATTAGTCAATAATATTTACTTTATTGATTTGAAAATCTATCGAACATACGATAATAGGTTTATATTGATTATCGTAATTGTCTTCAAATTTGGCGGCTTTTAGCGCGTGAAGTTGGGACGATATCGAATTCTGCTGGTGATATTTATATTAGGTTGCGGGTCGATCTCGGGGTTCCGGATAGAAATATCGAAATTTCAATCGATGATATTCGTGGACTTGCGGATTTTCACCAATTTCAGTGTGTCCAATAGAAAATTGCTGCTTAATTTTCTATTATCAAACTCTGCTTTAAAAATATTCTATATAGTAGGTCTCAGAATTCCGCCTTTTTTCTACGGCTCCGATGGCCCGAAATACGGAAAATCCATTATTTTCACGGCATCCAATAAAAAAATTATATTTGATTTTCTATGATTAAATTCTGCTTATAGAATATATGATTTATATTAGGTTGCGGATGGATCTCATTTCAGCGGCTCCGATAGAGAGAAATATGGAAAATCTAAGGATGCCTGCTGGACTCCAATATCGGCGTCTCCAACGGAAAATTGAAGCCCGATTTTCTATTGTCAATTTCTACTTCTAAAATGTGTCGTTTACTTTAGGCCGCGGGTAGATCTCGGGGGGTTTGTCTTTCTACTTCTTGGTGGTGGTGCTGTTATTGTTATTGGTATTGTTATTGGTAGACAGGGAGAGAGAGAGAGAGAGAACGAACGAGAGGGAGGGACGAGAGAAGAAGGAGGAGAGAAGAGAAGAATAGAGAGAGAGAGAGAGAGAGGGAGATGGAGAGGGGGAGGGAAGAAGAGAGGGAACAAGAGAAGGAGAAAGAGAGGGAGAGGGAGATAGGGAGGGAGGGGGGAGAGGGGAGAAAGAGAAGGAGAGAGAGAGAGAGAGGGAGAGAGGGAGAGAAAATTACCAAAATTTTGGGAGGGCTCTAGAGACCGAGGGGTCTTAATAATCCCTCATGCCCGGCGGAAGAAGGGAGAGAAGGAGAGAAGGAGAGAAGAAGAGAAGAAGAGAGGGAGAGAGGGGCAAGAGGGAGAGAAAGAAAGAAGGAAGGAAAGAGAGAGGGAGAGAGGGGGAGAGAAAGAAGAAAAGAAGAAGAGGAAGAAATAAGGAGATAAGAAGATATAGGGGAATAAGAATTAAAAAATATAGAAATATATATATATATATATATATATCCATATATATATATATATATGAAAATTATGAAATATTCGCCCTATTCTCTATAAATATATAGAATTCTCTTTGGTCGTATATATATATATAGATTTACAATATATTCAAGATATATGTAATATTATATCATATTTAGGATAAAATTTGTTTATATAGCGCATATTTATAATATTTATATCATATATTCATACGATCATTACATATATAATGCATATTCTATAATTCATTTTATAGATATAAAGTATTTTGCTTTCTATACTTATAATATTTTTAATATTCCATGTAATTCTTAATATATATATATATAACTCATATCATTTTTTATATGAATAATATTTATATTATATATCATACGCAATTCTTACTACGTATAATATTTTCATTATAAGAAATACATTTAATATATTTTCGATATTCATAAAATGCATATAATATATATAAAGATATATCTTATTTTTCATATATATATATATATATAATATCTATTATAAGATCTATATATATCTTCATACTCGATATCATATGATAGAATATAAAATAGAATACTATACATACTCTTCTATGAGGCTTTAGAGGAACCATTCTATCTAATCTATAGATATTTTCATAGGTATTTATTCGATCTTTCTTCTATTATTTCTACTTAATTAAATATTCTCTATAATATTATTATGATCAAAATGATTGATATTATTTGCCGCCCGCTCAGAATAGGGAAGAAAGATCGATAAAAGAGATCTAAGGCATGAATTGCTGCCCGGAAGAATATTCAAGAAAATTGAATGATTCTCGAAATTTTACCGTCCATGCATTTATCGATTGAATTTATTATAAATCGATTTCTAATACGAGAAATTTTTAAGGTCATACATTATTCAGATATGGAACCTATTTAGAATTTGAATTCGATTAGGTTCTTTTTATTGAAATATTTAATATTTAAATGGTTAATATTTAAATTGACATATATAAAATATGTATATTATATAAATATGATACCAATAATATTGAATTAAATGCCTTCTTCCATAATATTAATAAATTTAGAATTTCAGTTTTTTGAAAACAGATTTTTTTCTTGCAATAATTTTGATTCGATTATATTGATATCGAAATCTCAATTCTGTTTTTATATAATTTGAACAGAAAATTATAGAACCGTTATTCTTTCCAATTTAAGGAGAAAGAATGGAAATAGAAATTCAAGAGTTATAGATTTGATCAAATATTGAATAGGGAGATTATTGGGGATATAGATAGGTGCCTTAGATTGATATTGGTCGATTCCGAATCTGGGAAAAGATGCATTTTTTCGATTTTTTCGATTCATATCGATAATTTTCTATGAAAATCTATTCTTCAATTCAACATTTTTATATTCAGAAAATCCCAATCGACTAGCTCTAAATTTAAAAATTTAAATATTTGAACCGAAATGATATTATTCAAACCTTATTAAAATATTCTTTACGAATATTTTTATTCTATCAATCTATATTAATGAGAACTATATATCTTTATAGAATATATTATGAATGATATTACTGTAAATATACTATTTTATCATGATATTATTCTCTCGGACGAAAACTATTTCAGAAATAATTTTTTGAGAAATCGTTATTGGAATTAGATTTGAAATATCGCGATAACAATGCCATCATCAAGAATAAAATTTCATAATTTTGAAATCTTATTTTATTTCATATTTTCATATTCGAAGCAAGATCTAAATTTCAGATTTTATTTTCTTACACTTTCATTTTATATTGAGTACTTTGGCGGATTTAACCTTGAAAATTAATATAGCTTTTTCCCCAAATAGGTACGGTTTGGGGTTCTCTCCTCAAGAAAAAGGTGGGCCGCGGTGGGTTGGATGGCTGGGCCGCGGCAAACTGGCTGGGCTCCCATTGGGCTCCCTTCATATTTCTTTTCTGGGCTCGTGGATTGGACGGGTGGGACGCGGCGAAGGACCTGGGCTCCCCTTCATTTCTCTTCATATTTCCTTTCTGGGCTCCTGGGTTGGACGGGTGGGCCGCGGCAAAGGACCTGGGCTTTATTGGGCTCCCTTCATATGGTCCTGGGTTGGACGGGTGGGCCGGATTCACTTCCCTTCATATTTCCTTTCTGGGCTCCTGGGTTGGACGGATGGGCCGCGATAAAGATTCTGGGCTTTATTGGGCTCCCTTCATATTTCCTTTCTGGGCTCCTGGGTTGGAGCGACGAAGGACCTGGGCTCCCATTCACTTCCCTTCACGTTTCCTTTGTGGGCTCCTGGGTTGGACGGGTGGGACGCGGCGAAGGACCTGGGCTCCCCTTCTTTTTCCTTTATAATTCCTGTCTGGGCTCCTGACTTGGACCGGTGGACCGCGGCGAAGGACCTGGGCTCCCATTCACTTCCCTTCATATTTCCTTTCTGGGCTCCTGGATTGGACGGGTGGGCCGCGGCGAAGGACCTGGACTCCCATTCACTTCTCTTCATGTTTCTTTTCTGGGCTCCTGGGTTGGACGGGTGGGCCGCGACAAAGGACCTGGACTTCATTGGGCTCCCTTCATATTTCGTTTCTGGGCTCCTGGGTCCTGGATTGGAGCGGCGAAGGACCTGGGCTCCCAGTCACTTCCCTTCACATTTCCTTTCTGGGCTCCTGGGTTGGACGGGTGGGCCGCGGCGAAGGACCTGGGCTCCCATTCACTTCCCTTCATATTT